GAAGTACAGGTTCCATGGTCTGACCATGGAGTGCATGTGTCAGAGCCGAGCCTCCTCAGTGGCTCAGACGGAGCAGTGGACTGCACATCCAGGTGCACATGGAGGATGTGGCAGGCCATTGGAACCTGCAGAGGACAGAACAAATCTATCAACTACCCCAGCCATGTGTGGGCAGACGGACACTCTGAGGTGGACTGTCAGCCAGTGGAGTCTGGAGAGATTTCATCGTGCTTGGAATGGCGAGAACGGCAGCAATTGAGAACTGTTGAACTATCAAAGCCACTTGAGCAGGACCCTTGGAGCATGTCCCACGTCGGGGACCCTGGGATGAGTAGGAGACTGAGTGGGGCTTCTCCCTGTATCTCACCCATTCCGCCAGATACAGAAAAAAAAAAGAAGTGGGGGAGGAAGGTCAAACTTTCTATTTTTACTTAACTTGTGTGTAACTTCAAATACAGACATACGATTAAAGTTTAAAAAAAAAAAGATGTTTAGCCATTGGTGATAGCTTTTCTGTCCATTGTGATAAACAGCCCCTTTTACAGTTGGCTCTGTATTCCTCCCCGTTGGTATAAGTTGACACAGGTCATGAACTGATATGAGTTCATGAATTTCAGTGCACAGTTCTGATTTTTGGTAAATGCATTGATCTTATAACTGCCATCACAAGTCATTTTTCCCTGCCTTTAGAAAAAAAAGATTTATTGGGGCCAGTGCCATGGCTCAGTAGGCTAATCTTTTGGTATGTTATACGGACATGGGTTCTAGTCTCAGCTGCTCCACTTCTGGTCTGTGCATGGCCTGGTAAACAGTGGATGATGGCCTGAGTCCTTGGGTCCGTGCACCCATGTGAGAGACCCAGAAGAAGCTCCTGGCTCCCAGCTTAGGATCAGCTCAGCTCTGGCTCATATGGCCATTTGGGGAGTAAACCAAGGGAGGAGACCTTGTCTCCTCTGTAAATCTGCTTTTATATTAAAAATAAATAAATCTTTAAAATATTTATTTGTTTTTATTGTAAGGTCACATGTACAGAGAGGAGGAGAGACAGCGAGGAAGATCTTCTGTCCGATGGTTCACTCCCCAAGCAGCCACAGTGGCTGGAGTTGAGCCGATCCGTAGTCGGGAGTTAGGAGCTTGCTCTGGGTTGGCCACGCAGGTGCAGGGTCCCAGGGCTTTGGGCCGTCCTTGACTGCTTTCTCAGGACACAGGCTGGGTGGGAGGTGGAACAGCTGAGACACGAACTTGCACCAATACGGGATCCCAGTACATGTGAGGCGAGGACTTTAGCCGCTAGGCCACCGTGCTGGGCCCTAAATCTTTGAAAGAAACAATTTTTTGTTTGAAAGGCAGATTATAGAACAAAAGGAGAGACAGGTGCTGTAAATGCTAATCTCCAGATGACGGGCTGGGCCAGGCTGAGGCGTGGAACCTGGAGCTCCAGCTGGGTTTCTCCCTTGGGTGTGGGAGCAAGCCATTGCGCTGCTCTCCTAGGCACGCAGGCATGCTAGAGCAGTGGCTGGCTCCTCCACAAGTCCAGCTGTAAAGAGGCCCACGTGGAAGACCCTGCTGCATTTCTAGTCCGCTGCTTCCACGCGGCATCCTGTGATCTGAGCCGCGTCATGCACTGTGGTCTTCCACAGAGTCACGCTGTGACCCTCGGTGTGGAGATTTCCTCTGTGTTGTTTGGGGTGCCAGGGGCTCCCTAGGCGGTGTGACTGAGTTTTGTCATGTGTCAGGTGAGGAAGAGCGTTAATACCTGGCTGTGCTTCAGTGGCATTTCCATTTCGTAGGCAGAGGAGAGCGGATAGCTTCCACCTGCGGGGTTCACTGCCCAGATGGTGTCGGGGAAGTCAGTGCAGGCTCCCGGGTTCCTCGAGCCTTCCGCACTGGCTCGGACAGCTGTGGTCAGGAGCCCACACTGGGACCCAACTCCTGGCTCTCCAACATGGGTTGTGGGCATCTGACCTGCTAGGTCAAATGTCTGTCACCAAGAGTACCTTACCACAGTCGCATGATGCTGTGGTACAGTTGGTGGCCTGCAGTTTTCACTTGCTGTTAGGAGGGTAGCTCAAGAAGTTGACGGGAAAAAAGGGAGCTGACTGGTAAGTTCTGGGTGGGCGCTTGCTGCTCAGCTCCAGCTGCTGACCCCCGTGGTGACTCCAGTAACAGAGCCACTCATGGGGGACACATGTGGAGTTCTGGGCTCCTGACTCTGGGCCAGCCCAGCTCCAGCAATTGCACACTCCTGGTGAGTGAACCAGATCGGAGCTTGCTCTCTCTGTCTCTCAAACAGAAACATGAGTTTGCAAAAAGAATTTGAAATCCATGGATTCTTGTATCTCTGAAAAGTGTTTTATTCGTTTGTTTCTTTGGGAGAGAGATGTCTGCTGTCTGCAGGCTCACTTCCCAAACGTCAGCAGGCGGGTCTCCACGTGGCTAGCAGGTCCAGATGCTGGAGCTGTTTATTTGCTGCCTTCCCGCATGCACATGCTTACTTGAGCCAGTGTCCTAACTGCTGCACGGATGCCCACCCGCTATATGTGCTTCGTCTACAACTTGAGTGTTGAATATTTCTGGTTTTTATTATTTTTTAAAAGAGATTTATTTATTGGAAAGGCAGATGAAATTTACAGAGAAAGATCTTCTATCTACTGGGTCACTCCCCAAGTGGCCTCAATGGCCAGAGCTGAGCTAATCAGGAGCCAGAAGCTTCTTCTATGTCTCCCACGTGGGTGCAGGGTCCCAAGGTTTTGGGCCGTCCTTGACTGCTTTCCCAGGACGCAAGCAGGGAGCTGGATGAGAAGTGGGGCTGCCTGGATTAGAACTGGTGATCATATGGGATCCCAGGGCATCAAGGCGAGGACTTTAACCACTACGCTATCGCACCAGGCCCTACTTTTGTATTTTAAAAATTTCTCCGCGTGGGAGACCTGGAAGAGGCTCCTGGCTCCTGGCTTCAGATTGGCTCAGCTCCAGCTGTTGTGGCTGCTTAGGGAGTGAACCATCAGACGGAAGATCTTCCTCTCTGTCTCTCTTCCTCTCTGTATATCCGCCTTTCAATAAAAATAAATGAATCTTAAAATTCTGTTCTGATTTTTTATTTACTTTTAGTGCAACATTTGGAGTTGGGTGATGAACGTGCTATGTTTATTTAGTTGATTTGTGGAATTTTGAGTCGACGTCCCCAAGGGGTCAGCGTGTTGTGCTCGCAGTGTTCTGTCTACTCGGCACCGTGCGGATGTTTTCAGTTCCTGGTTCTGGCTCTGAGTCCCCCAGGACCTTCTGAGGTGTGTCCCCTCATGAGACACTTGTTTTCAAAATAAAAAGCAAGTCAAGGACTCGGGGCCCCTTGTAGTGTGGCTGCAGCTCACGCCGTCTTCTAGGAGTACATGCCAGCAGTTGTAGGGTTTTTGTTTGGCAGAGGATGCGCTCCTCCCGGGGCGTCCCTGGCCCTGCGGTGATGGACCTCCCAGCTTGAGGCTTAACTGGCTGCACCGCACTTCTGCATGTAGCTCACCCAAGGCCTGGGCTGCAAGAGCCTGGTAGGATTGGCTTAACTTTTTTTTTTTAAAATCTCTTGGTTTTTTTTTTTTTTTTTTTCATAAACTAAGATGGAATTGGGCTCCTGCTTGTCTTTAGAGAGCAAGAAGAGATTCTTTGGTCCTTGCCCAGCTGGCCCAGGACAGCAGGTGGTGCGGGGCTGGATTTGCCCGGTGGGCCTCGGGAGCAGCTTCCTGACTGCTGGCTCCGTGCTGAGCTGTGTGCCTTTTCTCGCTCAGAGGGGGTTTTTAGTCTTTCATGGCAGAAGTTAGCTGGGCCGAGCTGCAGCTGCTCCTGTCTGAGACCTTCTCCCTCCTGTGCCCCCTTGGATCCCTGGCTCTGACTAGGTGCCATATGCCATTGTTATCTGCAGCCCTCTCCCTTTCCCTGGAGGCGCTGGAGCCTCCAGCTGCTCCAACCTTGTCACAGTTTGCCATTAGCGTTCCGCCCTCTGCCCTGCTGTGGAGGCTGGCTGCCATTGCCATGCTACTGCCTTCTGCTCTCCCCGCCTGGTGGACAAAGGCAGCTCCGTGCAATATAGGACAGCTTCCCTCTGCTGACTCACTGGAGTGAACTCAGGGTCCCTCTGAGCCCTTCTTGCAGTCTCCCTCTCCTGCGCTCTGGTGGTGTACAGCAAGTTCTGAGACCTTGTCCTGGCCCGCCTCAACACTTCGTTCCATTTTCTGAGGTCTGTCCAGGAGCCAGGAGTCCCCTTTGGGTTTCCCATGCAGGTGCAGGGTCCCAAGCCGTTGGACCTGCCTTCACTGGTTTCTCAGGCCATAAGTAGGTGGCTGGATCAGAGCTGGAACAGCCATTCATACATTATTCTGGCACTTGCAGGCAGGGGATTAGCTAGCTGAGCCATCATACCATTCCCTTAGTTCCACATCGTAGTGTCGTCTGGGATGACTGGCAGCCTGCTTAGGCTGACTGCTGTGACAGTGGCACGGCTGCTGCCACTTCAGCGTCGGATTGCAAGGAGCGCTGGTGCTTTTGGAGAGGGCCACCGATTTGCAAGGGAGACTGAAGATGCACTGGGCCTGGCCGTGACACTGAGCGTCTCACCAGGCCCGTGGCAGCTCTGCTCTGCAGTGGGAGCCGAGGTCCGAGCCTTCCCATTCCTGATGCTACTGCCCAATCTTGAGCAACTCGCAACACTTCTGTGCCTTAGTGGCTCAGGGTGACTGGCCTGCTTGCTGTAAACTGTGGTCACTGGTGGGTGGCCCGCCTTTTCCTGCCAGGCTGCATCCTCTGCCCTGGGCACAGCAGAGACAAGGACACCGTTCTTATTGGCTTTGAAGGGGCTGGTCTCTCGCCTGTCCCATGTGCCCTGTGCATCATGTGCCGCAGAAGCCTGCCTTCAAGGATCTGTTCATGCTGTTAGATGGTATTCATTCTGAGTGGTGATCAAGCCATTATTTTTGCCTTCAAGTAACTTGATTTTAATTTTGATTTTGTAGGAGAACGTTCCGTGGGATAGAAAGGGAGGTGATAATGCACCATGGCAGCGGCTCCCAGGGTGCCCAGCATCAGCTGCAGAGGCCCCGGTCCTTCCCTGGCAGCGAAGAGGAGCAGCCGGCTCATCCGAACCTGCCCCCGTCCCCCGCCACACCCTTTGCCCCGTCGGCAAGCCCATCCGCACCCCAGTCCCCCGGGTACCAGATACAGCAGCTGATGAGTAGGAGTCCTGTGGCTGGGCAGAACGTGAACATCACCCTACAGAGCGTGGGCCCCGTCGTTGGCGGAAACCAGCAGATCACGTTGGCCCCTCTGCCACTGCCCAGCCCCACCTCTCCAGGTTTCCAGTTTGGTGGCCAGCCGAGGCGCTTTGATCATGGGTCTCCATCATATATTCAGGTCACTTCTCCCTTGTCCCAGCAGGTGCAGACCCAGAGCCCCACACAACCCAGTCCGGGCCCGGGACAAACCCTACAGAGCGTGCGTGCGGGCGCCCCGGGCCCCGGGCTGGGCCTCTGCAGTGGCAGCCCTACAACAGGCTTTGTGGATGCCAGCGTGCTCGTGAGGCAGATCAGCCTGAGCCCGTCCAGTGCTGGGCACTTTGTGTTTCAAGATGGCTCAGGACTTGCCCAGATCGCCCAGGGAGCCCAGGTGCAGCTCCAGCACGCAGGGACCCCCATCACAGTCCGGGAGAGGAGACTCTCCCAACCACACGCTCCGTCGGGAGGCACTGTCCACCATCTGGGCCCCCAGAGCCCTGCGGCTGCTGGGGGCTCTGGCCTGCAGTCTCTGGCAGGTCCCAGCCACGTCACCGCAGCCGGCCTGCCACCCCAGATCAGCAGCATTCTCCAAGGGCAGCTCATCCAGCAGCAGGTGCTGCAGGGGCCGCCGCTGAGCAGGCCTCTGGGGTTCGAGAGGACCCCTGGAGTGCTGCTTCCTGGGGTGGGGGGAGCACCAGCCTTTGGAATGACATCCCCACCGCCTCCCACCAGCCCTTCCAGAAGCTCCGTGCCCCCTGGCCTTTCCAGCCTCCCACTCCCGTCTGTGGGGAGCACAGGCTTGAAGAAGGCGACCAGGAAGTTGGAGGAGATCCCCCCAGCCTCCCAGGAGCTGGCACAGATGCGCAAGCAGTGTCTGGACTATCACCACAAGGAGATGGAGGCGCTGAGGGAGGCCTTCAAGGAGTACCTGATCGAACTGTTCTTCTTACAACACCTCCAAGGGAACATGATGGATTTCCTGGCCTTCAAGAGGAAGCATTATGCTCCATTGCAAGCCTATCTCAGACAGAATGACCTGGACCTGGAAGAGGAGGAGGAGGAAGACGAGGAGGAGGAAGAGAAATCGGAGGTCATCAACGATGAGGTAAGTGTTGTGGTCTCTTAGGCACCAGGCAGGAGGAAGTGGCGGCTGAGCCTCCGCTCCGTTTAAGGCTTTGGTTTGCTGAGGACATGGTCTTGAGCAGGACCGAAGACGGCTCTGCTTTCTCTTTGCTGGAGGCAGGAGCGGTCCCAGGCGGCAGCCAGCCAGGAGGGAGCCATCAGTAGTGCTGACTCAGTACCCAGCTGCGAGCACTGGGAACCAGGACTTAGCTTGGCTCCCAGGCGCAGTTTCCCCCGGGTCTTGGCTTGTGGCCCTCGGCTGTCCAGCGGCCCTGCTGCACAGGCAGGCGAGCTCACCAGGGGGTGGTCTTGGCACTGCCCTGCTGCTTGTCCACGTTCATGTGGACTTCATGGTTTGTAAATAAGGGATTTCGGTCACCAGGGTTTTATGTGAACACCAGCAGCTATTAGAAATCATTGGGTCTATTTTTAGGAAATCTGCATAATTAAAAAATACAGTTATGGTAAAAAAAAAATGATGTTGGAGTTTTTTTCCAATATTTAGATGTAATGTTAGATTTGAGATCATATTTTAAACCCACTTTGCTAAATACCTACTCATGGTGTTTCAGAGACTCACTTTTAAATAGCACACCTTGCCTGGAATGGGTGCACAGGAGCCGCCCAAGACGCATGCCCATCCCCATGGTGGCATCCTTCCGTGGAGCGACAGTGCTGTTGCATTGTGTGGTACACTGGGTGGGTGGAGCTCATCTTACTGAGCAGCGTGAACCTGTGTCCGCTCTCGAGTGGAGATCCCAGCTGTTGGCTGTCCTCAGGCGTCCTCGCCGGCAGCAGGGAGGTGCTGCGTGACTGCCGTCCGTGTCCCCAGCACCCTTCCCGGGGTCCGCCGTGGTGTCTGTGGTGCTGCAGGATTTCACCCCGCCTCGCACAGAAGGGAAACTCGGTGCTTTCATGTGTTCGTATTCCGATGTTGCATGTAAACTCCACCCACCCTCGCTGCTTGAGAAGAGGGCTCAGTCCCTTGTCACGACTGCCTGGTGTGACCACACATCAGAGGCCTTTGTCACTGTATGTGTGTCTACCGTTCCAATCTAAAACGTGAAACATAATTTTAAAAATTAAAAAATTAAAGTTTCAGAATCTAAGACTATTACACTGTGACTTAAAGTGCAGTTTCCACAGATTTGTAGTTGTCAGGCTGTTACGTCGTGAATTTCTCAGTTCAGTGCCCTTCTATAGGAGTTGATGCACAGCACTATAAGCATCAACGAGCTGTCAGTAAAGTTCTAACAAATTTTGAGCAGTCTTAAAAATTATGTTGCTTTTTTTCTCAAAATATTTCCTCTCAGGTAAAGGTTGTGACAGGAAAGGATGGGCAGACTGGTACTCCCGTTGCTATAGCAACCGAGCTTCCTCCAAATGTTTCCGCTGCTTTTCCATCCCAGCAGCGCTCATTTCAGGTACTTCCGATGGTTCTCGAATGTAGTCTCATCCCAGACTTCCTCCATCCAGATAGTTTAACCTTCAATTTACTATTTTCTCTTAGCATTTTTTTTCCAGAGCCCATTCCTTGTTTTTAAGAAGTAAGAAAGCCTTCCTGCATCTAAAATCATTGAATTAAATTGCATGACTAAATGACAACACACATCTGGTTATTACTCTTCCATATACCTGTAACGCAGTAGCTCTTAGCATGCATGTCTTTCTGTGTGCTCAGGACTCGTGTGTGCTGTGTTCTAAATGTTGGTTCTTATGTCTTTAACCTGTATTTTGAGACCAATATAAAACAATCAGAAAAAAAGAGTGAAGCAGATGGTTGGTTGGTGCTTTCTGTAGCTGAAAGTAGTGCTGCAGGGAAGCGTGACCGACAGCGTCGGAGTGTGCGGGTATTTGGCCTGCATTAACACACGTGGTTAACATGCTCGGTCCCCCATGGGGGAACCAGGAGATGGCACCTCCTCTAGCACTTGGGGAAGCAGTGGGTGATGGCTCAGGTTGAGGTGTTCATGTCACCTGCATGGGAGTTGGGCCTTTACTGAAGTCTGTTCTCCAGGCCGGCGTGGGCGTTTCTGCAGCCAGCAGTGGAGGGTCGTGCTCTCTCTCTGCTTCTTGATTGAAGGCCGGGAGCTGGGGTAGAATGGGTGGAAAGAGCCAGATGTTACAGTGGTAGTGTCAGGGCCCAGTGTGAGAGCCAGATATTACAGTGGTAGTGTCAGGGCCAGTGTAAGAGCCAGATATTACAGTGGTAGTGTCAGGGCCCAGTGTAAGAGCCAGATATTACAGTGGTAGTGTCAGGGCCCAGTGTGAGAGCCAGATATTACAGTGGTAGTGTCAGGGCCCAGTGTAAGAGCCAGATATTACAGTGGTAGTGTCAGGGCCCAGTGTGAGAGCCAGATATTACAGTGGTAGTGTCAGGGCCAGTGTGAGTAATTTTGCAGGAGATTGTGTAGAATTTGAAAGCAATTTGCTTGTTTTGGTGATATTTCTGTGATGATGACGACTTTGAAATTTGATAGGATTACACAAAGCCCCTTACAAATGTTTCCCATGTTTGGTTACCAGGCCTTTCTGGGCTCCTTCACTCTGAGCTCTCCCAGAGGTTTGAAGAGAGCAAGTCACTTATTTGTGCCCTATTGCGTCGTGTGCCCGTGACTGTTAGTCCAGGAAGGGCAGTGCTGACTTGGACCGTGTGCAGGGTGGTGTGCCCAGGCCTGTGCACTGCACAGATGGCAGCTTTGGGAAAGCTGCTTCGAGGTGAGGTACATACCCTGTGCCTGTTTAAGGTTTTACCCACTGTATTGATGAGTCTTGCTTGAGTTCAGTATTACTTGTAGGTTAAAAAAAACGGTCTTTTGCATTAACTGTAACAATGAATTTACTTTTTTCTTACATTTTATATTCTTTCTTTAATCAGTGAGTTATGTCATTGCCAGTATTTATATTTTATGTTTGAATTTACATTCAATACAATCCACTCTTGGTCTGTGCTACATCCATGGAAGTGTGTAGCCACCACCACAATGGAGAAGGACCAGCCTACCAGCTGCTTGGAGAGGCCCTCTCAGCCCGTGGTCTCAGGCCCTTTCTTCCCCCGGCCTTGGAGTGTTATGTGTCCTAGAGTGGAGCATAAAGGTGGCCTTTAGTGTGTGCTCAGCAGGGGCTGTGCGATGCAGGCAGTAGTGTTCTCGGAAGGACACTGGGGGACACTTGGCCAGGGCGGGAACGGACCCTGGGAAGGATGTTTGGATTCTCTTCACTTCTGGAACTGAAGAAGCAGCTAGAAGTGGGGTGTGAATCCAGGCCTGTCCCTTCTTTGGGCAGATACATAGGTATTGATGAGCGGCTGTATGTGACGGGTGTGCTCAACTTCCTAAGAAGCTGCCGCAGCATGGGGATTTCAGGTGGTGCTTGTCCCAAGTCTCTTCTCTGGTCATTCTGAGGGTGTGAGCTGGTTGTGCTTGGCATCTCACGACCCGTGTTGTGCCCATGCAACGTTGCGAGTGGATGCTGAGGACTTGAGAGGGTCTCTCTTGGAGCCTGGCTTTCTGACACAGTGTGTGTGCTTCATTCATGTGTTCCTTGCTTGATCCTGTCTCAAGGAGCCGGTTCCTTTTAGTGGGAAGTGATCACTTGATCTGCCATTTTGGTTAAGACTTTGATATAGAAGAAGTTAGACTTTTTTTGTTTATTTTTATTCGAAAGTCAGATATACGGAGAGGAGGATAGACAGCAGGGAAGATCTCCCATCTAATGACTCACTCCCCATGACCGCAACGACTGGAGCCGAGCCAATCTGAAGCCAGGAGCCTCTTCCAGGTCTCCCACACGGATGCAGGGTCCCAAGGCTGTCCTTGACTGCCTTCCCAGGCCACAAGCAGGGAGCTGGATGGGAAACAGAGCAGCTGGGATCAGAACCGGCGTCCATACCCATATGTGTGGAAATCAAGAACTTTAGCTACTAGGCTACCACACCGGGCCCAGAAGATACTATTTTTTTTTTTTAATGATTGATTTATTTTTATTTGAAAGACAGATTTAAAGAGACAGAGATCTTTTTCCTGTTGGCTTTCCCCCATGGCTGCAATGGCCAGAGCTTGGCCTGTTCAGAGCCAGGAGCCTGGAGCCTGCCCTTCCCATTCTCTCACATGGTGCAGGGCCCAAGTACTTGAACCATCTGCTTTTCCAGGCACATCAGCAGGAGTTGGATTGGAAGTGGAGCAGCCGGACTTGAACTGCCGCCCATGTGGCATAGTAGTGCTGCAGACAGGAGCTTTACCTACTAAGCTACAGTGCTGGCCCCAGAGGAGATCTTGAGAAAATTGAGTGATGCGTTGCCTTTTTGTTGATATTTGGGTAAGAACCGTAGGACGGAGCACAGGGCTGTTCCCTCTGTCTGAAGAGACACTTGGTCCCTGGAGTCACTTGCTGTGCCAGAGTTGGGTTGGCTCTGCTGTTGCAGAGATGGATGGTTTTCATACATTCATTTAAAAAGCAGGCCTACAGGGAGAGGGAGGGAGAGACGGGACAAAGGTCTGCTAGTTCGTTGTTTGGTGTCTGCAGCAGCCAGGCCTGGGCAGGCCAATCTGCGAGCCAGTGGCAGGGACCCAAGTGCCATCTGTCAGGTGCAAGAGCTGGAAGCTGAGCGAAAACCAGGTGCATTGGATGGGAGGCCGGTGTTGCAAGTAGCAGCCCAACGTTAAGTGCTGATTTGTGTGTTTTCTTGCTTTGGTGGGATGTGGTTTGATTGGATCAGGTGAGTTTGCTTCCTTGGGTCAGAGGGTCAGTGTGTATTGTCTATATGCAGAACCTTCTACAGAGACTGCTATGCTGTTGGCAGCCTTGTCATCAGAACCCTAAGCTGGAGAGAACCAGAGCATCCCTGGATGTAGAATGGGTCAGTGGTGTGTCTGCTCGTCGGGGAGGTGCAGAGCAAGGAGTAGGAGGGCTGAGCTGTGCTCGGGTGGACATGGCAGTGCAGTGGAGTACAAAGGCAGTAGCTCTGTTTATGAAAATGTTGGA